GAGATGGGGTGGGATCGAGAAAGGTCCTCGTGTCAGGATTCGAACTCGGGACGCCTGTAGCACAACGGGACTGCCTGAAAGGCTATCTACCCTGACTTTTAAAAAAAAATTGTTTTAAACATTGGAAATGACAGTAAATGTTTCTTGAGCACCAAATCAGCATATTAGAATTATTACTTTTGATATAAATCAAAAAAGAGACGTCTTTCAAAACATTAAAATCTTACTCACCCCAAACTTTTGAAAGGTAGTGTACGTAGTATGAATAAAACTCAGCTAAAAACAAAAACAAAAAAAAACATAGCTTTGGCCAGAAAAACAACAAACTAACATGTGACATAGTGGAAGACACTGCAGCTAAATGTTAACTAGTCTATTCAAAGCTTAATAATAATAATTAAGATCATTAATAATAAAAAAATAATTGTAGTATTGTTGCAGTGTGCAGTGTCTTGTTGCTAGGCTTTCTACCGTATGTTGTAATGGACTATTTTTCTTATTATTCAAACTAATCTAGATATTACAGTACTTTCAACTTTAATGAAAATTGTATGTCCAAGTATTTATTTATTTAATTATTTTTTTTGCTAAATAGCTGTATAGGTGTATAATAATGAACAGGATTAATGTACAAACAGCCAGTCATTATGGCAAAATAAATCCCTTCAGGGTGTTTCGCACTGGCTCTGGTCAGAGTTTAATTTACAACTCTCTGTACATGATGTCTTATTATTATGTACATCATGCCTTGTCACATTTTGTCTAAAAATATTTCTAAAGAAATTTGTGAAAAATTACATGCTTGTGGCAAAGAATAACTACCTCACAGATTAACTAACATGGACAGCCCAAAACTTTGTGAGTGTTTCCAAGGAACCCATCTGTTGTTCTTAGAGTCTAGTGCGGAGTACAATAATAACAAAGGATTATCAGCATATCCAATGCAAACCACAAGACTAATGAAGACCACAGAGGAACGAGTCTGGCTAACAGAAAGAATCAATCTTGGCATACGTTTTCAAAGCTATCTGGGACAAGTCTATGGAAGCAAATTAGACTCAATAATAATTCACACAAAAGACACGATGCACACATGCGTATCCCAATTCACATGCACGAAAAAAAAAATATATATTCACAAAAACCAATTCACGTGCACAAAATAAGAACATACATTCATTAAATACGCTTCACAAATGCAAAACACAATTCACAGATGTACAACTGTGTACAAAAATTTTGAATATTTAAAATTCACGAGTTCATCATGGACTGTGAAAGTGTGAATCGCCTTGGATTTGTGTGTGTATTTTTGAGACTTTCCCAGTAGCCCCTCACTGCAGAGCACAAGATCCAGGGGGCGTGGTTGGATCCACATCTAGGGGGTGGAGATTGGTAGGTTTAGGGGTGGAGATGGGTGGGTTTAGGGATCAGGGGGTGGAGATGGGTAGGTTTAGGTATATGTAAGGCGGGAGGAGTTGGATCTGGATCCAACCACGCCCCCTGGATCTTGTGTTCTGCAGTAAGGACCATCTCGACTTTCCTGGCAGCGAACTCCTCCCACGCGGGACACTCATACTCTTTAGCCAATCAGATTTGAGCCTGTCGATCGACCAATCATAACCCGCTGTGGGCGTGCCTACCTGGATGTTACGTCATCAGCGCGAGACCACGGTTCAAGTCACGGCAGAGGTTTGTGCAGTTTATTGTTTCATTTCAGATAACTAGCCTTGTAAAGGTGTATTGTTTTATCTTTGCATGCTGAAAACTTGGAAGTAAAATCGGTCGTTTAGACACGTTAACATGACCAGTGTAAGCCAGCGGCCGCTATGAATACAGATAGTGTTGCCAAAAATGCAGCTGTCTTGTGTTAGCCACAATGTCCCGTATATTGGCCAAAATGAAGAAAGAATTCTGCTCATTGCCCAGTTTTTGTTCAGCAACGCTGGGTGGCCAATGTTTAGCTCTCACTTAGCGCTGACCCTGCCCTCATCATCATAGCTTTATATAAAGAAGAATAGACCTCACGAGAACTCCATGTATGAATAACAGTGTTTGTACTTACCATTTGTGCAACAGGATGCATTGTTTAATTCGTACACACTAATTGTTTTCCTTGCATTTTTCAGAATTTAAACACTTTGGCACAACATCTGGATGAGTTACAGGCCTCTTCCTTCACATTAATCTTTATCTCTTTTATGTACTTTACCTTTATTCATTTCTTAATGTAATCAACATTCATTTACTTATTTTTTCACATATTACTGTGATTAACCATTGTTAATGTTTAATCTTGTGTTGGGTTGTAATGTAAAAATCTTTGAGATTGCAATACACAAGATGATGTTGGGAAGCAGCAATTGTATTTGCTTGGTAACAGTTGTGGAATTTATGCTGCTCAGACAAAGACAGACTGATCATAAAAAGGAATGCAGCAAAGATTCTTCAGTAAACTTTATTCAGTTATTTTATAATTTTATCTTATGCTTCCTGCTCTTTCTGTATCTGTATCTCTTGTAAAAGTATAAGAGTTAACAAGCCAAGGAGTTAACTGCTTTGAATATCACACAAATCTGGCACGTCCTGACAGAGAGAGAGAGATAGTGAAGACTGGATCTAAAACATTTGATTAATTAACTTTTCACAGAATGTATTACATGTATTTACCATTCAGCCATGAAATTTATTACTTTAAAAGAATGCTAAAGACTCTAAATGGGACACTATACTAGCAGTGTAAATTCAGTGTAAATGAGGTTTGAATACCCTTTGACTGAAGAACTTCTAGCACAATGTCAAACTGGTATCGAGCCAATCTCAGCTGTAGTTGTGCTGCGGTTGTACTCCCTCATAATAGAGTGGGGGAACAATGACGTCACTTTGTAGGCCGATCGGCTGTTAGCATCGCACTGGTTCCCTCGACAAAAAGCCAATAGGATTTTTCCATAGGCTTTTGGATTATTGCAAAAAATAAGCTCTGTGTTCAATCATAGTTCATGAAACTTACAAGTTTTGTCCATCAAGATAATCTTCACAAAATAATATAACTTTTATGAATTTTGATTACTAAATAAAAGCGCAGAACGTAAAAGCTAAACTTAGGCTATAAACGAACTACAGCACCACGGTTGCTCGCCTTCAACGTCAACACCACCATGCTTCCCACAACTTTTTCAAACTTATTTTTAACACGCTCAGTGAAAAGGATTTAGTCTGTATATGAATTTTAATTCACGCTACATGAACCTTTTCATATAAACTGGAATAAATACAAAACTAGAGCCAAACTAAAACTGAAATGAGACATTAGTAATAAATAGTATAATGAATAAATGAAATAATCATAACTAAAGGACATATGAACGCACGTATTTCTGTACATTTCGAAATAAGGTACATTAAAAGTTTTTTAATAAAAAATGTGTCTCCACGAACTGTTCAATAAAATTATTGAATATATCTGCTGTTATATTAAATAACAGCAGAGTGAGCGAGTTTTTGGATATGGTAAGATTAAACTTATTTTAGTGAATAAAGTACCACATTTCAGCTATTGTTTTGTTAGGGTGGGTACACAAAATGTTATTTTATCTTTGCTTCTAGAAAATCCTCAATATGCTTCGTAACAGCTTCATGTGGCCGTAAACATTTAATTTTAACGTGGCTTTAAGCACTATGCATTGTTAAAGTTTCACTTTCACCACAACTAAGCTGGTAAATGTGGTGTTTACATGGAATAATAATGAGTTTACCGAGTTTACAGAGTCTCCGCATCAGTAGGAAAGCGATAAAACGAGCATCTTCCATCCAAAGACTTGTGTTGCATTTCGGGGCAAAGCAAAAAAAACATTGTTGAATAACAATATAAAATGCGGGAAACTATTAATTGGTTATTCTACAATTAATTGTACTATAAATTATACATTAAGATTGGATAATACTGTAAATTGATAAACTGTTCGGCGTGATGACGTTTACCGTCTCAGACAGCGCCTGTAGTTCCATTTAGCAACTTGTTAGCAACCGTCTTTTTCAAGAAACGTAACAGTTTAAAGAAATCACGAGTGGGGTGTAACTGGTGTGTTTTATGTTGTAGAATAAAACGTGAAAGTATCTTGAGCTTGTGTGAACCACGGATCTTATTTTAGGGGATTTAACCAAACTCCCATTCAAAAAGTTGGGGAGGGCCGCAGCACTGAGCTTACACTGGTCATGTTAACGAGTGTGTCTAAACAACCGATTTTACTTCCAAGTTTTAAGTAAGCATGCAAAGATAAAACAATACACCACAAGGCTAGTTAACTGAAATGAAACGATCAACTGGACAAAACTCTACTCTGCTGAACCGTGACTTGAACCGTGGTCTCGCACTGATGACATAACATCCAGGTAGGCACGCCCACAGCGGGTTATGATTGGTCGATCGACAGGCTCAAATCTGATTGGCTAAAGAGTACGAGTGTCCCGTGTGGGAGGAGTTCGCTACCAGGAAAGTCTCAAAAATACACATACAAATCCAAGGCGATTCACACATTCACAGTCCATGATGAACTCGTGAATTTTAAACATTCCACATTTTTGTATATATTTGTACATCTGTGAATTGGGTTTTGCAGTTGTGAAACGTATTTTATGAATATTTATTCTTATTTCGTGCACGTGAATTGGGTTTCATGCATGTGAATTGGGATGCGCATGTGTGCATCGTGTCTTTTGCGTGAATTAATCTAATCTGCTTCCATACTTCCAGTCTATTGAAGTAACAGCTCATAACGTAAGGCAAAGGGACTGCTGGCATATGGAATCTTATCAAAGGCATTTTCTTTAAACTGTCTTGAGAATATGTTTCCGTGATGTGACTCCTCAATGAATGGTTTCTCTCTCATTGCTCTGTTTCTGCCTGTTTTTTCTTTTGTTCATTCTATTTGATTTATCCCATTTCCTCTGAGCAGAACCCTCTGTACACAGTGCTGAAAAGAAACCAAAGGAAAACTCACCTGTCTGTCCAGCTTCTGTTGTCGCAGGTTCGTGCCCTCATCATCCAAGGTGCTGCAAGAGGACAAAACAAGATTAATGGGGAAACCTCACAAAAAAGATGTGCCACAGCGAGAGTTGCGCCAACAGAGATACGATTCAAACTTACTATTGGTCCTTTTGTGTATACAAAGATAGTCCAGTGCCAAGAGAAGCATACAGTAAAAGAAAAATATAACCTATCAATGATTTAAGCAAAGGCGATCTTTACAGATGTAATTCCTTACTGTTCATGTCCTTCACTAAAAATTCTGCTGCATAGGATATGACATAAGTCTTCAGTATTAAACATATCTTAGCTCATGCATTATTGAAAAAGCAACTGTATTATCATATAAATAAATCACAACCATCGCTCTCTATTTACTGGTCACTAAACCTAAAATATGGGCAAAACAGTATATAAATAGTGCATATACGCATCAGACAGTGCTGCTGTGTTGATCATGCCTATGACTCATTGTGCTCTTTCAGGTCCTGTGAGGAGGGAGGTCTTTGGTGAGGCCTTTGTGCTCTGCCTGTCCCTCCTCTCGTTCTCTTTAATCAGCTATGACACATTCACTCCAGACCTCCTCACGCATTTCTGCCACCTGTTATTGCGGAGCCAAAAGCTGTGTTAATTAAATGGCAATAGAGGGCTTCCTCTGTGGCTGTGGTGGGTCATGCGGAGAGAAGAAGTGTGACAGATCAAGGGTGGTGTGGAAAAGGATTTGTGCTCTGTAATCTGTAAAGCACAACCAGGGTGCTGGTTTTAACATTTGATAGGAACTAATTTTACAATCAGTCAGAGTATTGATATTACAAACAATTACAAACACCGTAAAGAAATCAAGAATTCTGCTATCCGTGTTGATTTGGATAATCTCTGGATGTCATTAGACAATAAAAAAAATTGTTTAAAAAATTTACAGCAGTTTAGGTTCACAACACCACAGGCATTCACTCATTTCCTTGACATTATGAAACACAAACAAACATGCTAATCAGACGCTCACATTTTCATAAATATCTAGACAAATAGATATATATACAGTTGAAATTATAATTTTTTTTAAATAATTTGTATGAAGGAGTCACTGAGTGAGTTTACATGTACCCTCATTATACGACTACAATGGGATTTTGTCAATATTAAATAATAATAAACTTTACCTCATGTAAATGCAATACTTCGATCAAAACAATGCGATTAAGCTCATCGTCGTAGCAAACAATCATATTAAAATGTTTGTGCCGTATGCCGGTTTTAATCGCAATAAACGGGTACATAAACACCTTAAATACATTATAACAGCTCTAACCAAAGTGCAAATTTGAATGATGCATTGTGATGATATAACTATCAAAGGTTTGCTATATTAACCCTACAGTTGATAGCTAAGTCTTTGCCTTAATGCCTGCTTCACATCGCAAGCAACAGCAGAGTGTGAGCAGTGCATATTTTGTCTCTACCTATATTAATGAATAACTGTTCACATCGGAAGGGTGACGGAAAAACCTCTTTCATTAACATAAGCAGCGACAAAATATGTGCTGCTCACACTATGCTGTCACTTGCAATGTGAAACAGGTGTAACAGACATAGCTGAATTATTGTCATTTAGGAATAAGATTGTGTCGACGTTTCAATGAGTATCGCAATCTTTTAACGATTAATCGTGCAGCTCTAAAAGACAGACGAACGGACAGAAAGACAGACATACAGTTACAAAATATTTCTAACCAAACCAGTACTAACCAGCCTGGACCAACACAGAAATTCATGTTGCTCTAAGCTTGTCTTTTCAGGAGGATTATACTAGTGTCTCTTTCTCCCTCTCTCGCTCGGATGGATATTCCAGTGCCTAGCTGCAAAGAACTCAGAATCTCTACTTTCCTATTTAAACCTGAGAAATCTCACTCTCTATGGACTGCCAACACTGACACCATTTTTATCACACATGCACATGGGCACGAAGATACAAGCCCACGAACACACACTCATTCAGAAATACAGACACCTATTCGGTAGCTCACACACTTACTCAAACCTCAGGATACAGAAAAAGCAATGCTTATTTGCACACATTCGTGAACTCCCTTCTAAAGCTAAAATACATAAATGCACACAAGCACAAAGCGAAGTGCCTAATGTTAGCAGGCAAGGGTGTCAGTTCCCATCAGATTGGCAGATAATGACATAAACAGAGCAGTTATATGAGGGTCAACAAGGAATGAGAGATAAATTGTTATGTTCTGACAGCTGCCTGCAATGGGCGGTAGAATTTCTCTCCCTCACCATCAAGCTTCACTGATGACAGTGACAATTCACTTTGTGTGTCATTATGTGTGTGTGTGTGTGTGTGTGTGTGTGTGCATGTAGGTGTTTAACTGTATGTGTGTATAATGGAATCTGAAAATAACATTTGCTGATTTGCATGCTGTACTTTTACCTGCAAATTTTCATTCATCAAAACAAAATACAAAGCAAAAATGTCAAAAAAAAAATCTTAAAATAGGATTTACTCAAGAAGCAAAATTGCATAAGACATCAGACAAGGCCCGTTTTTAGAGAATATATCTTAAATTAAGTTCACCTTTCTTCTGCTTCTTTTATATTGCATGGAGAAAAAAAGATTTTGAGAGTGAGTGATAACAGAATACTTTTTTTCTTTTCTTTACGCAGTAGGGATGATTGCGTATTTCTTTACACTACTCTACTGCACAGATCAAGAATGAAGGTCAGTCACACTTTTGAGATGGCTTTAAAGAATTTCTATAGAGTTATGCAAGTCTTTCCTTCTTGGCGCCACATTTTTCCGCATGTTTTTTAGTTCTTTCCGCCTGCAATGAAACTCTTATTTTGATTCCGTCCTGTGGTGGGTCATGCGGAGAGAAGAAGTGTGACAGATCAAGGGTGGTGTGGAAAAGGATTTGTGCTCTGTAATCTGTAAAGCACAACCAGGGTGCTGGTTTTAACATTTGATAGGAACTAATTTTACAATCAGTCAGAGTATTGATATTACAAACAATTACAAACACCGTAAAGAAATCAAGAATTCTGCTATCCGTGTTGATTTGGATAATCTCTGGATGTCATTAGACAATAAAAAAAATTGTTTAAAAAATTTACAGCAGTTTAGGTTCACAACACCACAGGCATTCACTCATTTCCTTGACATTATGAAACACAAACAAACATGCTAATCAGACGCTCACATTTTCATAAATATCTAGACAAATAGATGAAATGACAGACAGAACAATAGATAGGCTGATTAATAGAACGATAAATTAAAAAAAAAGATCATTTTGACAGAATGTTCATATATATATATATATATATATATAGAAATAAGAATGTTTTTTCTAAATATTTTCCAAATATTTTTAGTTATTCAAAAGCTTAAAAATGAAAATAAATGAATTAATGAATTAATTGATAATATCTATCTTTTCCAGACTTTTGTGATATTCAAAACTAAATAACTAAGTGACTAACAAACTAATAACTAAATAAATAAATCATTAAATTAATAAATCAATATTTTCTAGTTTTTAATGTAATTCAAAAGCATAAAAAATCAAATAAATAAATAAATAATAGCTAAAACCTCTAAATATTTTATCTATCCATCTATCTATCTATCTATCTATC